CAACAACAACAACACTACCACCAAATACACCATGTATTACCACCTCTTTCGTCTCCACAAACACCAACACCATCAATAACAATACCACTACCACCAAATACACAATCTATTACCACCTCTATCGTCTCCACAAACACTAACACCAACAACAACAACACCAGTACCACCAAATACRCCATCTAGTACCACCTTTATCGTCTCCACWAACACTAATACCATYAACAACAACACCACTACCACCAAATACACCATCTATTACCACCTCTTTCGTCTCCACAAACACCAACACCATCAATAACAATACCACTACCACCAAATACACAATCTAGTACCACCTTTATCGTCTCCACAAACACCAACACCATCAATAACAATACCACTACCACCAAATACACCATCTAGTACCACCTCTATGGTCTCCACAAACACTAACACCAACAACAACAACACCACTACCACCAACACCATTTCTACTACTACTACTACAACCTTTTTTCAACATATTACTTGTGACAGATCGTTATGTCCGGTATTTCAAGACACCCTACTTCATTTTCTTCCGTGACACCTTGAGTTACCTGGCACTACTTGGCCTTCATTTTGCTATGTGTCTGCAACCATCTACAATCCATTTCACTGCTGTCGAATGGATCATATCGTTATTCTTTCTGGGAAGATTGATGATGGAAATCAATCAGTTTATCACGGAGAAGAACTCGGACTGGATAGAGAAGAATGATTTGTCGCAACAAGACCATAAAGCAGAGGAGGAAAAGCCAAAAGAAGATGATGAAGAAGAAGAAATGAAAGAAAAAGAAAAAGAAAAATCCACATCTGCTAAAGATGGGGAGGAAGATAAACAAGAAAATCAAGATAAACAAGATGAGAAGGACAAGAAAACGCAAGGGCTAAAGAAATTATGGAGAATTATGTCAAGTTATTTTGAGTGAGTAATCTAATTTTAAGTTTATATCGTTTGTTGCCTTGGTGGTTTTTAAATCATCAAAGATGGCGGTAAAGAAAATCCTTGCGGCAAAAAAAACTTAATTGGAAAATGAAAAGACAGCTAGCGTTCAGATTGGAAGTTAGTTTGACGCACTCGGTTTCGCCCCATGTAAGGGAATCCGGACTTATGGTGGATTCCGGATTCCGAGACTCTTGATTACGGATTCCAAGGGTCTGGATTCCGGATTCCAAAACTTTTGTATTGCGGATTCCGGATTCCATATCGTTAATTTTCAGACACTTTCTCTGAAAATTAGTTGACATACTTGCCAGTATAACTAGGGAGGTGTCCCTGGTATATATATAACTAGCGTGATAAAAAACAATTGACAAAAGCGCATACATTAAGTTTCAGACACCATAACGTATTGCAAATAGCCCACTCCTCCCTTTTGAATTCATTTGTCATATAACCTCTAATATTAAACGACAATTTTCTGATCTAAATTTCAATTTAATTAAGGGTGGATTCCGGATTCCAGAGTGCTGGATTCCGGATTCCAAAGCCTAACATTTCGTCGATTCCGGATTCCGGATTCCTTTACATGGGGCGATCGGTTGGAGAAGGGTATGTCGTAAAAAGTATTTTACCGGAATACAATATGCACCATCTGACTAAAAGATAGTTGAAAGTTTCTAGCTGAACGATAGTCTAAAGCATCTGTTTATTTGGAAGACAGTTAGTGATGTTGAATGTTATTGTCATCTCATCATGTTTTATTTTATTTTTTTTCCTCTAGCGACTGGTGGAATATACTTGATGTAGTTACACTAATCGYCTTCCTGGTTCTTGTTGGTATACGTGCCTTCACTTGGTCACAGAATTCGTCCATATCAAAGAACCGCCTCCTTGCAGTTGCTGGCTATCTTTACGGCTTTAACGCCATGCTTCTTACACTTAGAGTGTTTGGTCACATTATGGAGTCTAAAAAATCTACAGGATCAATCCAGATAGCTTTGTTTCAGATCATTACAGCTGTTATTGCGATATTGGGTCAGTTTGTAGCAGCAACCGTGGCTTTCTCTTTGGTTATTACGAAGATTTATGTTGCAGAGGTGTCGTACAATTCTGGGGCAAACGTCACTTCTAGTGGGTAAGCATTTCTCAGTGTAAGTAAGGATCCAATGAACCCAGAACATCGTTGGAGATAACGAATACCGGGTTTAAAAATGCCCTGATACCAATATGAAGCAAGCATAAGCCAAATCTAGTTATTCTAATTGTTTCTGTTATCTCTGTGCTTTTCAGGTTGTGTGGAAGCCAAAACGGATTTAATTGGTAATTTTTTTAAATTTTAGCAACGTGTAACTCTTGTCGTTCGTCAATTATTATTGTCATTGTCATTCCCTATATAGATTTTAGTTGGTGGAGTTCCACAAGGCGCAACACTTGGTCCCTTTTGGGGACGTGTAATGTGTTACTCATGTCGTTTGTCTATAGTCATCTGTTATCTTTGCTGGAGTTCCTCAAGGCATTTTACTTGGTCCTTTTGAGGACCTGTAATGCGTTACTCTTGTCTTTTGTCCATAGTCGTTTCTTGTGATTTTGAGTCTTTTTTTAATAAAAATTATAGTTGGTGGAGTTTCACAAGATATCTTACTTGGTCACTTTTGGGCATCGCTGAGCTTACGCCTCTGCAATCTTCAGACGACACTTCCGATGTTCTTGCTAAGATTTTGTATGGTCTGTTCTTGATAATGGGGGTGGTGATGTTAATGAACATGATGATCGCTTTGTTGTCCAACACTTACCAACACGTCGAGGTAAAACAAATAAAGACCATCTATAAAATATGTATAAAAGAGTTATTGGCTTTTTATATATCATTAAAGATATAATTATCAATAGACTTTCGCAAAGTCTGCCGCCCGCTGCTCGCGACTTCGTTGCTCGAATCTAAAAAAAAACACCGGGAAACAAGAGATCGCCCCATGTAAGGAAATCCGGAATCCGGAATCCGGAATCCGGAATCCACGAAATTTTAGGCTTTGGAATCTGGAATCCAGTTTATAATGGAATCCGGAATCCACCCTTTTGGAATCCGGAATCCGCTACTTTGAAATTCAAAGTATACACTCAAATGCTATAGCCTCGACCTAGACTGAACCGATGTAGCCCCTCCCCCACTGTGTACTATCTCGACCAAGAATATCTGTCATCAGATGCTGATTTAATTGATAGATGATTCTACTTATACTGGCAAGTATATCAAATATAATTTTCAAAGAAAGTATCTGAAAATTAACGATACGGAATCCGGAATCCGCAATACAAAAGTTTTGGAATCCGGAATCCAGACCCTTGGAATCCGTAACCCAGAGTCTTGGAATCCGGAATCCAGCGCTTGGAATCCGTAATCCAGAGTCTCGGAATCCGTAATCCAGACCCTTGGAATCCGTAATCCAGACCCTTGGAATCCGTAATCCAGAC